AAAAAAAAAAAAAAAAAAGATGGCAAGTGAACAAAGGATTTTTAAGACAAAAAAAGATGCCACCAATTAGGGACCCAAGAACTGCCCAAACATCAGGAGCCACTGATGGGGACAATTATAGGAGACTCAAACTGCACAAAAAAAATGCCCAAGCACTTTCAGTGAAATGACAGAATTGGATGTGCAATATTGCAAATAACTTCCCCCTGAAGATAAAACCATTTATTTCCAACTACTTACAAACTCATAGTCTCCATCCTGTGGTACTTTCCAATCTGCAGAATTTTTCAGTGGGCCAGGCACACTTTTGCCAAAGCTGCTGATCTGGTTTTCCTTTTCTTTTTGTTCAAAATATTCCAGAAAAGATGGTTTTGCAGCCTGCATGGTCTCATCCCTTCCTGAAAACCAAGAAAAGTAAAAAGTGAAAAGGAATACTCTTACATTTTAGATAAGTTTAATAAATAGATCTATCTCCAGATGGGCTACAGTCTCTGGATCAATGGGTCTTTCTATTAGATAAAAGACTCCTTCTTCGAGAATCTATGAAACTACAAAAAAAGGCACAAATGCTCACTCAAAATATTTCTCATAGAATTTCAAGAGGATGCAAGGCCTCCCAAAATACACGCAAAATTTTCTCTGAGGTCCCTTTCTCTAGATAGAAAGACTTAGGTGATGCAATGATTCTGAGTAAGCTGCACATAATACATTTTAGGTCTCCTATAGCAAATAATTTCTGTAATCTTTAGACTGAAAACAGAGATGCAAGCGAAAGTATTTGTTTAGCATCTATCATATACACTATTCTCTATAGGCACTGGAATAGGATGACACAGTAGGATGACTTTCCTTGATAATCTCATGACCTAACTGGAACGATGACAAAAATATGCATAATTAAATCACGTTTCATCTACTCTATGAAATATCATGTAACTTTCAAAATACTATCTATAAATGGTTTACAATAAAATTAAAGGGAAAACAGGATAAAATATTACATATACAGTATAATCACAACTCTATAAAATTGTATGCATAGGAGAAAAAAAAGTCTGGGAGAAAATATATCAAAATGTTAACAGGGTTTGTCTCTGATAGTAGGACTATGGGTTTTTTTTTTTTTTTGAGAGACGGTGTCTTATGCTGTCTCCCTGGCTAGAGGGCAGTGGTGTCATCATAGCTCACTGCAACCTCAAACTCCTGGGCTTGAGTAATCCTCCTGCCTCAGCCTCCCAAGTAGCTGGGACTACAGGCACGCATCACCATGTCCGGCTAATTTTTCCATTTTTAGTAGAGACGGGGTCTCGGTCTTGCTCACGCTGGTCTCCAACTCCTGAGCTCAAGCAATCCTCCCGCCTTGGCCTTCCAGAGTGCTAGGATTATAGGTGTGAGCCATGGTGCCTGGCCACTGCAACTATAGGTGATTTTATTTACTTCTTTTAAACATTTTTTAAAGGAGATAGTACTAAATAGGTATTAAATAAATAGAATTAATGATGAGAGATACATGTGCCCAGATCTTGAAGGTTGGGTGGTTAGGGAGGACTGGTAAAGGGGAGCTTAAGTTGGGCCTCAAACCACCCTGGAGAACAGAATCAGCAGTTACCCCACAGCCGTTACCATGTAAGAGCAGAATACAGCAATTACTAGTTATTAGTAACAACAGCAAAAAGAATTACTTTACCTGGCATAACTTAAAAACCTAGCTAGCTGAGTTAAAGTATCTTTGTGCTTGTGATTAGTATTCTAACATGGGGAAACACAGAAGGTTTTGTTTTTTTTTTTTTTTTGAGACAGAGTCTCACTCTTTTGCCCGGGCTACAGTGAGTGCTGTGGCGTCATCCTAGTTCATAGCAACCTCAAACTCCTGGGCTCAAGCAATCCTTCTGCCTCAGCCTCCCGAGTAGCTTGGACTACAGGCCCGCGCCACCATGCCCGGCTAATTTTTTCTATATATTTTTAGTTGTCCAATTAATTTCTTTCTATTTTTAGTAGAGACGGTGTCTTGCTCTTGCTCAGGCTGGTCTTGAACTCCTGAGCTCAAACAATCTGCCTGCCTCGGCCTCCCAGAGAGCTAGGATTACAGGCGTGAGCCACCGCGCCCGGTCAACACAGAAGGTTTTTTCAGTGCTTTCCAGGAACATGTGGGTTTACACAGCCCTTTCCCACAATAACCAGGAAAAAGAACCAGAAGGTTCAGAGCCTTAAGAAGTAGACGGGTAGAGGGCTAGAAGATGACGAACAGCAAGTACTTCTCTTCAGGCATCCGTGTTCTATGCAATCTTCCTTATCTCATGACACGTGCCTGGTCAAGTTTCAAGCCAGCACCCTGACTACCTCTCAGACATTTGTCATCTTTCTCACTGTCACCACTGCCAAGTTAACAGCAGCCAGTTCCAGATTTGCCCACTACCAGATGTTGCCAATAGCTTACTACACTGTTGCCTCTCCACTTAGTGAGAATTAAACACAAAATTTGCTAGGATCAGTTAATGAGTACACGGTGTTTTGTGTGCTCTAGGTATGATGCTAGGTGCTTCTCATGTTTATTTTGTTTAATTGTTAAATTAAATTAAAGGTATTACTTCATAATATAGTTCTGTAGGAGCTACAACAAAATAAGACAGAGACAACTGTGCAGCAATGCTACACATAATCCTATGCATTAAAAAAACGTTGTTCAGAAAACCTCCCAGAGCCAGCAACTTCAATAGTACTGCCAATTGCTGACAAATATAGTATATAAAATATCCTGACAAGATACACCAACCAGCTGAACAGAAGTCCAGAAACAAAATAGAAAGTCCAAATGGCTATACAAACATTGGAATAGCTATTTGGAAAAAGATTAAATTGAATCTCCATATCATATCTTAAACCTGGAATACTCCAAATGTATAAAAGGTCTAACTGTAAAAATTAAAACCATAAATACTAAGAAAACATGTGCGAATGAAATTTAACTGTAGCAGAATGATTAGTTAAAAAGTTACATATATCAGGTTACCAAAAAGCTAAAGGTGATTTTGGAGGCAGCACAACAGAAAAATCCCTCTCTTGCAATTTTATGTTATGTATATTTTACAATTTTTACGTATATTTTACAATTTTTAAAAATCAGAAAAAAAATCCCTATCCTGCAGTTCAAAGATCTAGATTTTGGTTCTGACTGTATGTATGATTTTGAGAAAATCACAGGTTCCCAATCTGCAAAAAGAAGACACTAGGCCAGATTATTTCTAATTTCCCTTGTAGCTTTGAAAATTTTATGACTTGGCAGTTGCATAGGAAAACATATTTATGCCCTAGTTATTGATAACTATTCAAAAGAAGTAGTTCTTATCTCCAGAGAGATTATAATATTTGATGCCTTTAATCTAAAATACGTTACAACTAGATGTGTATGGGCATAAAACAAAGACCAGGCCACACTGAAAAATAGGGCTCAACAGTTTAGTGACAAGAATGTCTCTTGAGTCTTTGGATTTCTTTTTGTCATTGTTGGCTTGTTTTAACAGACGGGAGAGGTGATTCAAACTGTAATAAAGATATCATCTAGAGATGTAGGTGATAAAAATATTTCATGTAACTAAAGCAGAAAAAAATGAATGAATCAACTAGTAGGGGAAGCCACTTCAACTGGCAAAAAAAACAGTATATATTCAAAAACAGTTAGGTGATCCCTGTATTTAGTGATTCCAGAAATTAAATGCCTCCACCGTAATGATTCTTTCCTTATGTGTAAGGTTGCTTCACTGACGGATTAAGGTTCTGTGGAGGACACAGCATTCCTATCATGACCAACATTTCCTTAATAACACAATTAAACTGTAGCACCTGTTCTCAGTCTGATTTTATAGACAAGTAATAATTCTCAGTAAACAGATTTGTATCCCTACCACAATTAGTGTCTAAGATAAATTGTTTTCAAAAGTGGCCATGATAATATTCTCCCGTTATCTTCATCCCTGAGTTATGCCCTCCCACAATAGGCTGAGCTATCTAACTTGCTTTTGGTCAGTGACACAATAGCAAATGAATAGCAAGAAGAAACTAAAAATTATGTGTATTCTACTATAATGAAAATAAATCTGAGTGAGGCTGCAAGATGGTGAAATACCATGTGGAGAGGCCAGTCAACAGATGTCTCAGCTGAGGACTTCATAAATCAGCCAGGTGACTATAGAGCAGAGCAAACCAGCCCAGACTGGAAGAACTGCCTAGCTGAGTCCAATCTAATTGCCAACCTACAGAATCATGAATTAAATAAAATGGCTGCTATTTTAAGCCACTAAATTTTGGGGTCATTTGTTATGCAGCAAAAGCTAACTGATGCAGTCTAGTCTGTCTGACTTTCTGACACACACATACACACACTTATACACACCACCCTAAACCTACAAAAAGAGTTTCATTCTTTGGGAACTCAGGTTCAAATTCAACTAACATTTACTGAATACCTTCTAGATTTCAGGCTTTCTACTAGGTGCTTTCACATGATATTCCCATCCAAACTTTAGGACCACTATATAGAGAGGAAAGAGGCTTTGCATTTATTAGGCACCTACCAAGTGCCAGGCAATGTACTATTTCACTTAATCCTCAAAGAATTTGCCTAAGATTTCATAGCTAGCAATCAACAAGGACAGGATTTGAATGCCAATGATCAGGTTTTAAGTTTGGTGAACTGCAACTCATATTGCAAATTCTCTAAAATCAAAATAAAGATTCTTGACATGTTAGAAATGCCATTAAGTTAAGTGCAGAAAGAGTGAGGGAATGGAATTTTCCCAGTAACCTTATCTTCGAACTTTTCTTTCAGCACCCTTTAGCTAGATAGATGATCAAGTGTGCTGGACAGCAGCCTGACGGTGCTGAAAAGCATGAGAGAATCATTCCAAGATGATTAAAGGCCATGCTGTCCCCAGGGCTTCAGCTAGCCAGTGGGCTTTTTGTTTTGACTTGAGCTACAGTATTTTTTCAGATATATCCCAGGAAATGAAGACGTTCAGCTAAATGATAATACAAGAAACCTAAAGCCATAGGGAAAATAGACTGAGCAAAGAAACCAACCCTTGAAAATAGTCACATCTTGCTCTGATTCTTTTATCTGATGCAAGAAACACATGAACTCCTATACTATAACTGGCCTATTTTTTGTTGTAAGCAGCATTTGTCAAGCTAAACAGACAATCTGTCTAAGTCCACAGACAAAGGAGTGAATTCATAAGCAACTGTACCTTCTATTTATTTTTCTTTGAAAAATGCTATGCAAAAGCAAAAAGACTCAACAACCCAGATATCTATCGAGTGATGAACAGATAAATAAAATGTAGTATATCCATACAGTGGAACTATTATTCAGCAATGAAAAGAAATATTGGTACATAAAACA